GTGTTGAGGATAGAAGGAAACTGTCGGAACGGATTCGCTGTATCATGGACTCGGTATAGGTGCCCCATAGGTGCCAACTGAACTCACGTTGAGAGCAGTGCTGCTCAGTCCCCTTGGTTCCTTCACCCGCGCTGGAGATAATGTTCCTGGTCATGGTGCAGCGCATGACAGCGGCCTTCGGGTCAAAGTCACGCATGATCGTCCCACTGTTTGGGCGGTGTTGTGGGGGTTGGATGAAGCAACAAGATCAAAAGCTCAAGACCTCCATTTACTTGGCAAATCCAGTCAGCAAAAAGGTGTGAAAATTCGTTTCTTACCACAACATCTTGCTTGGAAGACTCCCAACATTTTGCAGTGCCATCGGCCACAGTTGCCTTGACAGCCTGACCGTGGGGATGATAGCTCTCAGTAACTCCTATTTGGCGCAGAATTTGCTGGGGACAATGCGGTTTGCTGCAGCGAGCAGACTAGTAGATCATTACATGTCATTACCATATCATATATTATTGTGTTGAGGATAGAAGGAAACTGTCGGAACGGATTCGCTGTATCATGGACTCGGTATAGGTGCCCCATAGGTGCCAACTGAACTCACGTTGAGAGCAGTGCTGCTCAGTCCCCTTGGTTCCTTCACCCGCGCTGGAGATAATGTTCCTGGTCATGGTGCAGCGCATGACAGCGGCCTTCGGGTCAAAGTCACGCATGATCGTCCCACTGTTTGGACGGTGTTGTGGGGGTTGGATGAAGCAACAAGATCAAAAGCTCAAGACTTCCATTTACTTGGCAAATCCAGTCAGCAAAAAGGTGTGAAAAATAGTTTCAAGATTTGTGCTAAGATCAAGAAAAACCAACCCTTTTGCACAAAGTTTCAAGCAGAAATTCATGTCAAACTGCGGAACTACATGAGTAGACATGGCACTTCAATTTCTAAATCCCTTTGACCTTAGGTGACTCAGCCTCTGACATAATTCCGCAGCACGCATCAGCTGGAACAAAGTACAAGTGCATAGGCTGCATAGATAGTGCATAATGCTGAAATACTTGCCGAAGAAAAAAAGAGGAACTGATGTCAATGGTCAATCATGGGGTCTGGTTGTCTTTTGTCATTGTGCCTGGTGGAAGTGTTTGAACGCTTGCAAACGGGCACAAGACCTATGGAATATTGGCATATATTAGCTATTCTGTTTCTTTTGCCCCATTTCCATTGTTTGCAAGCAAATTCGGGTGGCCAGTGAATTTACCACTGATTGAGGACAACCAGGCCATTTCAGGCATTTCATTCCTGGCAGCGACTGAAGCTTCAGCAGACCGCGGGCAGATGTGGACACCAGTCTGCAGTGTTGAAGTCAGTCGCGCTGGCAGTGATGGTTTTGCATGCCGTGTTGCCAACAGCAGTTTTACTCACCAATGGAAAGCCGTTTTTTTGGGACATGTACATATCCGGATGTACAGGTCGAAGAGGGGATCCACTGGTTGAGCAAGAAGAGAAGGAGGGCTTTTGGGAATGGTAGAGGAACTAGTTTCAAGCTGTTGAGAATGCTATGAGCTACATTATCACTATCGTATTGTGATCCAATAGGTCAATAGGTAATGGATTTTTTGCCATGCAAGTTAGGTAGATTGATCCCAGATCCATCAAGCTTGTACCGGCAGCAACTCTCTACCCATGTGGTGGTTAGCACATGACCATGGTCTCAATGAGCCCAACATTCATCTTCGGACCCGGTTTCCTCATTGGGAGGTTGGCCGATGTGAACCTGTGACCTTTGGTGAAAGCCGTGCATCTGCTCTAAATAGTTGGGGCTGAAGAGTCAGAATCGCAAGGGCAATGCATCATATATTGATCCAGTCAGACCAAAAGCTCTGCAAGGCCAGGGAATTGAACCCTGAATAAATAAGTAGATTATAAGCACATGGTCCACTGGCTGTACGTTTTCAGAAGTTGCAGCCCTTTTGCCTGAAATGATATGCCATTTTTGTACATCAAAAGTCGCAGACAACTCAGATGCCAAGGAAGAAGAGAGTCGATGGGGCTTTCAACTCACTCCTGGCGACAGTGTCAGAAAAATCGCTCAGAAGATGCTCCTTGTAGAATTGAAGTGTCGAGACCTCTGCATGAAGTCATGACACTGAGCGCGCACACACACACACACACGCACACATGACCAAGACTCGGTTTTCTTTCGGTGTATTTGCTGTCTATCTCCAGGTATTTCTGAAACATTCTGTCGATCATGGATCTATCTCTCGACACTTTTGCGAGGAGCATGCCAAACCCTTTCTTGCCGTCCCGAACAATGCTTCTGGACGAGCGGATGGGGAAATTCCTTTGTGCATATGGAATTGGTAAGTGCCATGATCCATGCCCCGCCACCCGTTCAACACCTGGAACTTGCCGTGGATGCAACGGGAGCGCACGACTAGAAATTGACATGGGTTCCGGCTAAAAAGACATCCTTGTCTCCTTGATCAGGTACAGAGAAACATGGGCTGCCGACAAAGAATTCCGCAAGAGCCATCAAAAGGTTCTGAACGTCTTACATCTACCATCATCTACCAGTAGTACCGCGCAAGGCGGTGGCGGAAGTTTCAAAGATAGGAAACCTATAGGAGAGGTGAGTTGTTGTGATTCATGGATGGCAGAGCGAACTGATGGACCGAAAGGTGGTTGAGTCTCTGAGTCTCTCTCTCCCTCTCTCTCTCTCTTTGTCTCCTTCTCTCTGTGTCTCTCCCTCTCTCTATCTATTTATCTATTTATCTATTTATCTATTTATCTATTTATCTATTTATTTATTTATCTGTCTATCTATCTATCTATCTACCTAGCTATCTATCTATCTACCTATCTACCTCTCTATCCACCTATCCACCTATCTACCTATCTACCGATCTACCTATCTACCTATCTACCTATCTACCTATCTACCTATCTACCTTTCTACCTTTCTACCTTTCTACCTTTCTACCTTTCTACCTGTCTATCTATCTATCTATCTTTCTTTCTATCTATCTTTCTATCTATCTATCTTTCTTTCTTTCTTTCTTATCTATCGATCTATCTATCTATCCATCCATCTATCTATTTATCTTTCTAACTAACTAACTAACTAATTAATCTATCGATCTATCAATCTATCAGTCTACCTATCAATCAATCAATCAATCTGTCTGTCTGTCTGTCTATCTGTCCTATCTGTCTGTCTACATCTTCTTATTTTTCTTTTTATCTCCCTATCTCCCTATCTATCTGTCTATCTCTTTCTCCGTTTAGCTATCTATCTATCCATCCATCCATCTATCCATGATTCCATCTATCCATCTATTCATCTATCCATCTACTCAACTTCCAAAAGTGCTCCGAGAACCACAGCTGCGCACACCTTTTCGACATCTAAACTTTCAAAAGTGGTCCGGAGCTGCAGCGCTTTTGGCATTTTCACTTCAAACCTGCTTCGTGCCACAATGGCGTGCACTTTTTGATCTCGCATCCCCCCAAATGGCTCCGCGCCCGCTGATTTAGCAAACAGCCCCAAAACGATGCAAAACCACGGTGTCTCGCGACTTTTCTACATTTCGCGCGCTTTGATCTTCTTTCTTCTCCCTTTCTCTTCTCTGATCTTCTTTCTTCTCACTCTTTCTCTTCTCTGACTCTTCCCAGCTCTGCTGCTTCATATGTCCATATTGCAGAAATTTGATTTCTAAACTCCTTTCGATGATATTTGCATCGATATTTTAGTATGTGCCAGATGTACCAGTTCCTGCCTTGGAGTCGTCATATCAGTTTCTGCGCCCCTTTCTAAGACCTGTGTCCCTTCAGGATTTTTCACAGGTCGCTGAGGGCGAACTGGAGCTGCCTGGCTGGGGTGCGATTATCTGCTCTCGGTGAGAAAAGGGTGCCACCAGCTGCTCTGGTGTTGGACTTGAAAAGCATCCCCGGATCTGGCTTAAGAGATTTGGGTACTATCAGGTATTGTCAGGTACTGGTTGTCACTTTTCTTGAACAAGTGAGATTAGCCTGTGCCTATGAAAACTGTGTGATTACGAATCCTTTAACCACCCCATCTGGTGTTGGGACTATCTTGATCCGCACAGCTGGTGCTTGAAGGCCTGGGCTATGGATGACTCTGAATCTGACGTTCCAGCTGATTATGTGCGGCTTGGGGACGAAAGGAACCTGGGCCGGGCAATGCCTCACGATCAAAACAGCCAAAGATCCTGGAATTTCTAAACGGAAATATCTGGGTGGGGTATTAGAGGCCTGGAAGCTTTGGTTTCTTTGTTTGATTGTCGTGTTGCGACAGACTCTCTCAGATTGGGAGTAAACCCCAATTTTTTGGCTATTAAACCACAGAAATTGATGCTCAACTGTCGGATTTGGGGGTATCCCAGCCCATTCTGGGACCCCCAAGCCCCAAAGCTGGAGGTTCGCTGGCCTGGAGAACCTGATGAAGGCAACATGCAGATTCTGCTGTGGTTCTAATGGGGGAAGTCATGATCGATCATAGGGAATTTGTGATTTGTGGCCCCCAACTTTCAGACAAAACTCAGCTCTGTGGAAAGGGAGTTGTGGAGCCTTTGTGCTGAATGCATATTTCCCACCATTTGGCGTTTGCACTTGAGTCATTCTGCTGCTTTTCACAGCTGAAAGTTTCAGTGACAGGGACAGGTCCCAGAACTTAATATGTCAGGTCCTCCATTGTTGTGCCATTTGAACAAAGCACAATGGCAGAGCTTCAACCAATGGAGACTGAAACAACGGCGACAAAAACACACACACACACACATGCATGGACCAAGCGTAGCCCAGCCCTTGATCCTCCGCAGCTACACTGCCCAGCCAAGAGGTACGCCATCCATTGATAGAAAGTCTTTGGTAAGGTACTGTTTTTGGAATAAACCATTGAAAAACACAGAAGGTCCTTGAATTTCATTCAACTGCTCAAGAAGTTACAATGAGGTCATCGCAAAATCCAATCCCCTCTCTCCGTCTTGATTGCAGGATGAAATCCACCTGTGACCCGCCCCTTGGCGGAGATTGTGAATCGAGGATAATTGAGGCAGACGTTGGGTATGGGTCATTAGCAAACAAGAGTGATCTTGTATGTTTTTACGGTATCTCCAAGTTTAATTAGAATACCTAATCTTAATCCAGACCCACATGGATTGAAGAACTGGAAGCCGAGGCATTTTGACAAGCACCGCTTTGACAACTATACAGACTGGTTGGATCGAGAGACACGGAAGCGGAACCGCGCACAGGGGCAACACATTGGGTGTCTTGGTGATGCACTTTTTTGTTGGATCCGTTTTAGCCTTTTAAGACGGGCAATTCCAAGAGTTCCAGCAAGTCCAACAAACCCAAGCAAATGGAAATCAAGAAGGTTGTTGGATTCGAAGATTCCCAGATGATATGAGCTGTTTGATTTAGAATTTTACTCGCAACACTGACCGCTAAATTGCACCACTGGCGTTGTATTGCTACGATTTCGTGGATCAGGCAGCTTAGGGTCACATTGTTTCAGACGCACCCGCGCACAGAGCTGGCTATTCACGATTTGGGAGCACAATTTTCAGCTTGACTTCGAAGGGTTGTTTTTGGTTGAGGATTTGGGTGTAGCTCAAACATTGACCTGGCTGGTTCATCCTGGGGGGGAATCAGCTGGGCAGGGTCCAGATTCTTTGCAACAAATTGGCATCCCAAGAACCTAGAAACTGAACATGCAAAGACTGCAGGCACGCCAGAAGATAGTTTTTCATTTTTTACAATGTTTCAGCACTTGCAATGATTGGTGGATATTTCTACGAGAGTCCGATACAGGTTCTAGATGGTTCTAGTGTTTATAGATCTCAATAGCTGCTAGGTGTATCCACTGCCATCCGCCACGCAGTCGCTTCTCCAGGTTCGGCTTCCCGGTGCCCAAAGCCCCGCAAGCGCCCCGCCATGAGCGGCCCTTCTATATCACCGAGCAGAGCATGGTGTGCCTTCGTTACCACCACTGTGGGAGGTTTCCAAGGGGGTACTTGATATTGGGGTTCATCCATTGGGATTATCCTCCAGGTCGCACCAAATGTGAGCCTTCTTACATGACATGTGCCCAACACACTACCCGGGCTACCATGGAAAGCTCATAGAACCTCCATGAACGATGCTCTACACGTTCTTCAAGCCGACCGGCCTTGCTACTCAAGGTCCGGCTTGATGGTCAGGAGAAAGTATGACCAGACAGTACCTGGGCTGAGCGGAGCATAGCAGAGCCGACATGATATAAGGATTGTTGCATGACCATCCCAACCACAACATGTTTTGATCATGGTAAGGAGGGGGAAGACTGTGAGCAATGATGAACGTTTCAGAGACTCGAACCTGGCCCACTTTGGTGCTGGCATATTTGTAGTGAGGTATCCAGGTATGCTGTGTTGGAGTACCAATAAAAAGAATCATAGCAACGGAACGCCATGGAACATCCACCATCAAAAAAATCGATTCGATTTCCACGGCTTAGGAGACGAGCTATGCCACGGTGGCCACCAGATCAGATCCACACCACTATCCAAACCACATTGATGTGAAAGATGCGGATCACTACAAGGACCTTGGTTCCAGGGTTCCCGATGATTTATATGATTTCTGTCACAAATTTGATGTAAAAAATCACCTTCCCATTTTTTTAGCCATTTTGAGGTATCATCCATTTTGAGACAAACACTATGTTTGTCTGTCACCCTGTTGGAGCCTGCACATCTTGAACTTTGATAGAACCAAAAGGCGGTGATTTCCAGGGATAAACCACCAAGGGGGATCCGAATGCCATGGAATCGACTCCGCCTGGATGATTGCGACTTCTGTGCACGAGCTTCGCCGCAAGCCGATCTTCGTTTTTTTCAAACTCAGCAACAGCAATGAAGATAGGATGCAAAACGTGACAAAATATTGGGTGTAGAAAGTCACTTTTCTTGCGGATCAGAATCCCACCCCAATGTAGCTTGTATATGGGAGGGTTTCAAAAAGTTGGAGCCCTCAACATCTCTCAACAAACCTCAATCCCCACGAAAAGCATCTTGCAAACTTCAACCATTCCAAAGCATAGTTTCTTGGAGATAGCGAAAATGTTCACTGACCCCTCTAACGGTTTCCTAGGCCCCCAGCTCACGTCCCCGCTTCCTGTGCTCTGCCATGTCGTGCTCGTGCGCGGAGAGTCCAAGCAGCGAGACTGGAAGCAGCGAATCGGGCAGTGAAGCTCGGCCCGCCACGGAGCAGTTTGGGTCATTTTTCGGGGTTGTTTACCAAGAGAAATGACCTAAGATGGGGCCTTTAACAAGAACATGAGGATGAACCAATAGAAAGTGAACAACCATGATCAAACATTGGATTCCAGCAACCAAAAGTGGGATTAGCCAAACAAATGTCAATAAACTTCTCAGCACAATTTGGGGCTTTACCAACAAATGGGAATTAGTGAGTCAAAACTCACAAAATCATGATCAGACATGGGGATCGTGCCAGGACATGGATAGATTTGCCTCCTTGCACTGCAGCTGCTTAAAAATGGGGCCCAGTATCCCAATCAACCGGAATGAATGGCTACAATCCCATTTATAATTGGCCGTGGGTTCATAATGTGTCGTGGATTGAGTGGCTTAAAGTGCAGGATTTTTGTTTGTTTGAATAATCCAAATCTTGGCTTTTGTGCACCATTATCCAAGTTTTCCTTCTCTAAATGTAGGGAAATTGGCACCAGGAATGCTGGAAATCCTCCTAGTTTCATACATCTTAGGTGCTGGAAATCCTCCGGGATCGGAGTTCTTTAGCCTAGGAGTCCGAGAAGTCCGAGAGGTCCGAGAAGCCCAAGAAACTCTCAGCTGAAGAGAGGGCCAAAGCAGCACAGACGTTAGATAAGCACTTGGGACCTTTGTCCTACCTCTTTACGAGCCTTGGTAGCCGCAGGGTAGCCGCAGGGTAGCCTTGGCTGGGCAGCTGTTGGGATGAGGTCTCGTAGTTGAAGCAGCTGTTCACCGCACGTTTTCGAAACAGACAAACCAGAAGCAGCACTCAGAAGTTTTCAGGATTTTCATGGATTTTCAATGTTTACTGCAGTACTGTCTTTATTTGCGCACGTACATTTAACTTCAAGATGGTTCTCCTGCTTTGTGAAGATCTGAGGAACCATGCCATTCACAAGTTCTTTCGGAAGTTTGCTCGTGCTAAGACACTGGATGGGCGCAAGGCCATCACGCCACAACAGGTGGGCTCTTGGGGCATGTTAAAGTGAGAGTTTCCCATAAAGAATGGGAAGAGTTTGGTGGATTTCAGCCAGTCCATTCTTGGATATGGGTTCCTCCGTGAAAGATGAAACCATTGCCAATCACCGATATCACCGATTCACCCAACATCAATCAGTTTGGATAATGATACCCATGTACTTGATATGGTTGGATCTTTTTACGATTCCTGAAGAATGCAATGAGTCAACCAAGTGGGATTCACTCCATGGGAACGTTCCTGGAAAACTGCTGCCCAGGTGAGTGGTTGAAAAACCAGGGGTACACCACTTGCTTTCTTGTGGATCACTATGGGATATATACTATAGCCATAATATAGACGTTGTACAGGGATATATATAATATATACATACTGTATGTAATATTATAATAGTGATTTGGACAAATCATGCGTGCTTGATAATTGAGACCCAAGACAAGCCCAAGGAGGTTGATAGTTATTTGCAATTCCCAAGAGCAGTGGCTGTTGGGTTTCAATCTCTGTGTCTTGGGCTGGTGCTCAATTGTCTTGCCGGGCCCAAACTGGAACTGATGCATAGGTTGCCATGCTGGGTGAATCATGATAGAATTTGTCAGTCATTGATATAATTCACCATCCAGCAAACATAGATGTGGAAACCCTTGGTTTCTCCAGGAACCCCAGGAAAAGTATCTACAAATGGTTGCTTTTTTCAATGTTAAGAGGATCCAGATTACCTAGTCGTCAGGTGGCTGAGATGGCGCCACACTTGGCAGAGCACTTGGAAGTTCCTCCAGTGCTCTTCAAACAGGTCCAAAGGGTTGATTTCTGATTGATTTACGGTTGAAAACCAACAATTTTATTGCGATACCATGGGATATATTGGGGGATATCGTAGTATGTCTAAATCCAACGATATGTTATTTGGGTTTGTCCTACAATCATACAATGAAACTGATGATCAACCATGAGAATTTCAGTAAAGTCTTGGATTATGAAACAAAAAACATGGGGATTTAAGCTGCATGATGGTAACAAGCATGGGACATAGTATGATATCATATGATATAGTATAATGTGATCCAGTATGATGTAGTATATTTGAATACAATATAATATAATATAATATAAAATAATATATTATAATATATTATGATATAGTATCATAGAATACAATGAAATAAAATAACGAATGGTCGATGTTTGTACTGAATCCTGCACTTTTAAACATGTGTGTTGTACGTTAAAAAACATTGTATACATATACATATATATGTATATATACATACATTGATGAGACATATTGCCTTCAAAAGGACACTGTGTGATTGATGGGCTCATTTTCATGGCCAAGGGTCGCGAAAGAATGTTTTAGGTAGATCACAGAGGGCGTGAATACATACACACACACACGCATCTTTTTATACATTACAATGCACATTTTTTTCAATCCAGAAAACATCGCTGGTTGTTGATGGTTGAAAGAACTTGCTTCACTGACTGACGATTGGCTTTAAATGATGGCTCAAGGACTGGACTAAAGTAGACTCCCAGTCACCGAATCAATAGGTCTAATAGGTTTGGGGATGTCGGAAGTTCTTTTTTTGGCACGGCTGAAGGTGGATGTGCTTTGCCAACGCTTCGACTTTGATGGATCTGGAGTGTTGGATCGGAAGCAGTGCACCATGATGTTTCGGACTCTGAGACGCATCTCCTACTTTGTAGGTGGTCCAAAACCAAGGTATGGGCTGCACATTTACCGTTGAAACGTGAGGAAAATGTGGAATGGTTTTTATAAAAACCTAGAGCGTATTTGCAGACACACCCATATCTCACGCAACTTCTTGCACTTACAAAAGAAATACATCATGCACTAAATCTTAACCATGGAGGAGCATGCCATGCTACGAGGAATATCTTGCGTCACAAGCGAAAACAGCTTGGACCTCGCCGTCTTCCCGTGGACGTGCCAGAGATGAGTTTGGCCTCCAGTGGCTATGTGGTGCATCGCGAACTCGGGCGTGGTGGTCAAGGCGCACAGCCTTTAGGGCGGTAGATTTTTTTTTGTAATCGGATTAGAAACTCGTGGATGTGGCAGAGTTGCACTCATTTTTTTTGATCCCAACGACCTGGACCGAATATCTTTGACTCGGTGCTTTCCATGCGATTCCTCATGCCGCAGCCAGGAGTGATGTATCTCTGCACGTTGGAAGAGGTGCCGTACTGCATCAAATTCTTTAGCACCTTGGCGTGAAGGGCTGGCGGTGTCAAGACATTATTATATACCCCCAAATTCACTGGGTACCCCAAAATGGATGGTACACTACTAATGATGACTAAAAAAACATAGGGTTCAAACCGGGCCTCAAAAAATTGATTCATCTTTCATCTGATAAATGTGATTCTATCCATGGCTTCATTCCACTGGATTTGGTGTGCATGAGACCCCGTGATGGATTGGTTGCAAGGGCCGCGTATCATCGTTGGCATCTGGTGCAGGGTTCGTTTGGCATGAAGATGACTAACATCAGCATAGTTGCATGGAGAACGCTTGGGCAGGGGTCAAGAGTCAACCTCAAGCTTCGCGAAAGAGCTTCGCGAAAGAGCTTCGCGAAAGAGCTTCGCGAAAGAGCTTCGCGAAAGAGTGTCAGAAGACATTAGGTGCGAAAGCGCCGTGAAAGCATGAGCTAGACTTGCAAAGGAGTGTTGTGACTCTAAGGATATGCTTTGTCATTTTAAAGTAGAAGTGGCTTTTTTGGGACGAAATCTCGCGAAAGCTGCGCGAAAGCTTGGCATCTCCCAGTCATGTGCTGGCCAATTTTCAGGCGGACCATGGCGGACCCCTTTTTTGACAGATGTTGCGCACTTCTTGTCGAAAGTAAATAGCAACAAACATGTTCCACCGAAAACCAAAATTGTGGTTGCGATAGGACCGCGAAAGCCGCACGAAGCAATTCTATAGCTGAACCAGTTGATCAAGGGTTTTCTTAGCGCCTTTTTTTTCGCCCTAGACTCTGCTATTTGTGCTTTCGGATTTAGCAAATTTGCGCTGAAACTTGGCGTTGTCGTCCAAGTGCGGAAATTTCTGCCGAGATGCCAAGGCAAGGCGGATGGGGATGAGGATTGCTTGGAGGATCTACTCACAGAGTACACTCTGATGAAGGATTTCAGCCATCTGAATGTGGCTAAAACCTTCGAGGCAGGGCTGACTTCGACCTTTCCAGAAGTCAGCCCGGTTCCAAAGCTTACTGGATAATTTGGGGTGTTTGCAGATCATGGTGCATAACATTGCCTGAGGTCAAGTCTTGGAATCATAACGGGTATTGGACAAAGCAGGGCAAAACTCAGGCCCTGTTCACAGGTTTTTCTATTTCCCTGTTTCCTAATGACTTGACCATCCAATTCACCACTGTTTTAAAGCATCTCCTCAGCAGGTCTTCCAGGACAGCGAATTCTTCTACCTGGTCAACGAACCCTACTTTGGAGGTGATTTGACCAAGCTGGGCAAACGAGCACATGATCAGGGCCTGGCGATGAGTGAGCACTGGTGGCGGGTAATCTTCCAGCAATGTCTGGACGGACTGCAGTACCTCCATTCGCAGGCAGCAGCTTGGATGGCAAGCTCCGCACTCCGCATGCGGAGATGAGTTTGTTCAACCTTTGTTGCTTTCATCATCCTGTGCAACTGGGATTGTGGACCGAGAAAATCACACATCTTCACTGGCTAGAGCTAGTGGATGCAGTTGGCACCTCATTTTTTGGCCGTGAATTAGGTCATGCATTGCGACATCAAGGAGGAGAACATCATGGTCGCAGGCCTTGCGCTCGGGGTCGGTACGGTTGAAGTGGGCTCTGAGGGGATGTCAATTCCTTTCGCAATCCATCAAAGCATCATTTGTTTATATCGGATATTTAGGTTCCAATTTTCGAATGGTCTGCTGGATTCTCCTCAAAAACCATGCGGTTGATGACGGTTTTGTGTAGTTCCACAGCTGGTCCCTGAAGCTTGTTGCAGCCTTGGCTGCCCTGGGTCAGACTTTTGTGCCTTCCCAAATTGGATATGGTCTGGATATGTCTGGATATGTCTGGATATGTGCCTCCCCAACAAACCCTCCTTCCTATCCTTGGCATTTTGGCAGGCGCCGATTGTGAAGAGCCGCGTCTGGTTCTCATCGATTTTGGTCTGGCCGAAGGCTTCCTTTCGACCTCCAGTGGATGTAGTGGCACTGCTGGATATATTCCGCCTGAGACCTGGGAGACAGAGCACTGGTATCCCAAAGGACATGGTTGGACCTCTTACAACTTGGAAAGCCCAAACATGTTGGGAGTCATAGGACATATGTCTGTTTACAAGGGCATTTCAACCCTTTCTACCAGTTCTGGTTTAGGAATCTCGGCGCAAGGAGATATTTTCAGCATGGGCATCGTCTTCTTCCAGCTGATGATCGGCCAGGTGCCCAATGGCGAAGTTTTGGGAATCTTGCAGACCTCTGGCAGGAGCGAACAGGACGGCTGATTCGACCTGCGACCTGGGTGAACTGGTGAACTGGTGGCACCACCAGCAACGGGTGTGTTTGTTTTATTTTTTGGTACATGGCTGAAGTCAGGAAAAAGACTAAAATTATCAGAGCCTTCTAGCCAACAGTTTCAACTTCACCATATTTCACCATTTCCCCATATTTCCCATTATTTCCCCATATTTCCGGATATTTCCCAATATTTCCCACGACGTTTTGAGATGTTTGGGCCCCCAGGTCACCCGGTCCCCAGGACAAGGCCGCAGGCCTGGCCTTGAAGCTCCCCTGGCAGCGCTTTCCCTCGCAGATGCTGCAGCTGGCTGCACTCATCGCCTGCATGACGCACCGGGAGATGCAGCACCGGCCCAGTGCGGCAGCGGCCTTGACGCCTGGAACGATCCACTGATGTTCCAAGGGTTTTTGTGGAGAGGTTTTGTGAAAAAGCCACATCCCAAATAAGAGCCCATGCATAGATCATATCAGCAACTCGGCAAATAACCAGTTAACCGAAGTAACCAGTTATATTGTTGGAATGGTGTGTGCCCACTTATGTATCCCACCAAAGCCCACGATGCCTGGCTCACCTGGACTTCGAGATCACAATTTTTTCGCGCAGCCTGCCGACACCTCAAACGAGATCAATGTTTGCCACCACCAGCGTGTCACTGGTTACTTTGGCTCAGGAAGCATGAGTGGTTTTCCTGCGACTCCGATGAGGACTTCCCGGCAGAGAACCGTGCCGCCTTGATTGGCAGCTCCGCCTCCCAAAGTCTGCGGGAACAGGTGAGGTCTGGCAGTGGATGGCGGGCAGTGAATCTGTTGCGGAGAATTTGCTGATGAACATACCTATTTTTAAGGTCATGGGTTGGGAGAAAATACCTGTATCTTAGTGCCAAATGATAACCCCTCTGTAAAGGATTTTGACTAACATATATTTTTACGGTTTTCATGATGGAAAGACGCATCAAACATGCGGCTTTATCTATCAAACGCGGAGATTTAAGCATCAAATACGAGAATTCATGGATCAAACAATCAAACATGTGGATTTGACAAACATGGGGATCTAATCCACAGATAAGGAGAGTTTAAGGATAGAGGTATCCTAACTGGTATTTTGCGTAGCAAGGGTTCCAGTTTCACTCTGGGGGTCTGGGGGGTTGAGGGTGTGTTCGCTCGACGTTGCGTTTACCACCGCACCCGTTCGCAACCGCTCGCAACCGTTCGCAACCGTCCGCAACCGTCCGCAACCGCTCGCAACCGTCCGCAACCGTCCGCAACCGCTCGCAACCGTTCGCAACCGTCCGCAACCGTCCGCAACCGTCCGCGCAAGCCCCGTATGGCCGTGCCTATGGTAAGTTCTGCAAAAGGGGTCACTTTTGGAGGTTGCGCATGTCCCGTTTCTTCGTTTCGCGTGGCAGGCATTTTGTGAGATGTGATGAAAATTGGAGGTAGCTAATTTAGAGGTTCATCAGAAAACTCGTAGGAAAACATTGATTTTGAAGCTGCAAAGTGTGAAAATTGGAGGAAGTCTTGCTCGAAATGCTCGTTTTGATGCTCCCACGAGTCTCGTCTCCAGTCTCTTTTTTCCTGTGGCCTCGCCGTGTCTATGGGGGAAGCTGCAAAACCTCTCCTTTTCGAAGGTTTCCAAGCAGGTTGTCATGTCGTTTTGCGTGGCAGGCGCGGCACTTTGTGACATTCCAACCTGTTTGATAACGTGTCGAAAGTCGTTTTCTGTGGCACGCGCAATACTTTTGCATCGTTTTCACAAGATGAGTTGCAGTTTTCGTGGCAGGCGCAGCATTTTAGAGATCTCTGTCGTCATTTTGCGTAGCAAGCACAGCACTCCACACTACTCCACCCTTTACACTTCACACTCCAGGCTTTACATTCCACACTTTCTCCTCTACACTCCACACTCTACACTTTACACTCCACACTTTACACTCTACACTTTACACTCCACACTTTACACTCTACACTTTACACTCCAGACTTTGCACTCCACACTCTGCACTTTACACTCCACACTTTACACTTTACACACTACGCTCCACACTCCAGACTCCATACTTTACACTTTACACTCCACACTTTACACTCCATACTTTACACTCCAGACTCTACACACTACACTCCACACTTAGCATGCCACCTTCTTCCATATTCCACAGTCTACGGCGCACTGGTATGGTAGCAGGGGAAAAATGTATTGTAGCACAAGACTGTTCAAACAAGCTGTTTCACAAAAGTGTTCTACGTGACTGCATATCCATGTGTTTCGATGTCTGTACTGTACCATTAACATACGTGTGAGCATTCGGGTTCGTGGGCTGCATCTTGTTTCGGCCATTCGCTGGATGAGTAATATATCCCTGTTTTAGTGGATGACGGTTCTGAAAATATGATCATCTATGATGGTTGATGGATGAGCAATATACATATTTTGGGTATTAGGTTTCTTTGTCTCAGGTTCATGTCAATGTGATGAGGCTTTGCTGTCGTGGACATGCATATCGCGGAAGATCCTCCCTGGCCGAACCGTAACTGGTTTCGTAAGTGGAATTTGGACACACGCTACTCCCAGCCATCGTCGTAAACCGATGCATCCATCATTATCTATCCATCAATCCCACGCTGAGTCAGGTGACCTATGAACTGGCGTCAAAGAACAACCTGCACAACCTACGGGAACTCAAGGCCTGTCCATGGTGCTGTGGACCCCGAAAAACCAAACAGAACTAAAGGCCAGTACAGGGTTTTGAACCATTTTGAGCCATTATGAAGCATTATGATCCATTATGAATCCCACTTATCATCAATATCTAACCCCCAAGTTGACTGCTTCTTGTGGGGTTGCGGCCCCCAGCGGCAGGAAAACCTTGAAGAGTTGAGCAGAAGGTCGGGTTGGGTATCCAAATCAATCAGAAGTACCTACAGGGAACTGCTAAAGTCGTCTCTTTTTGTGTTGTTTTCAAGAAATCAGCTGCGGAACAGTGTTTTGCAGAAGTCGTCTCTTTTTGGCTTCCCACAAGCTGAACGCAGGATGTGTGATGATGTTTTGTTTTTGACCCCTTATTTTGCGAATGTTGCGTTTAGGTTGGTGTTTGCATGAAAACACTTAGGGGTCTTGTTGCTTAAATGTTGCGTTGCCTGTATAAAAGAGATATATATATATATATGACATTATCATTCCATTGGATCATTGCTTTTTGTAAGACCACAAAACGCATAGGCACGCTGAATTTCACCAACATGAGCCTACCATTTGTAGTCATAAACCTTCTTATTGTTTGTTTGTCCATTGCAGGGCACACAACACAGGGGTACACTGGGTCAGGGATGCTTTGCACGACTTATTTGGCACTAGGTGTGCCATTGGGAAACAGATAATTAAACTACTGGATCGATGTTGTAACAAGTGCCAATGACAAGATCTTGTGCCACATCGTGGTGTGCCTATGAGGAAAGCTATGAGGAAAGGCTCACATGGGCAGCGCCTATGACTTTAACTTACTGATGTATTCTTTGGCACTTCGCATATGCACACGGCGCTTACCTGTCATATCTTTGTGGGTTTACCCGCCATACTCCCAAAGATCAATAGATGAAAGTCGTGGCAAGGGTATACTTTTCCTGGATTTAGGTTGGCAGACAAATTTTAGGAAGTCGGTGCGGTCGTGGCGTTTAGGTGAGTTTTGAAATTGGTAGCACGTTTCATACGTAAAACATGTGTTTGAGCTGTGTTTTGCTTCAGTTTGGGGCTCAAATATAGACAATCGAACATAGACATAGGTCATCCTGACCTGCTGCCCTATGCCTGGTGGTTCCTCTGCCCATGGCTTTGCTTCCTCTTCCCCAGACAGTTAGGCTAAGGTATCTTTGGCTATCACGGTTCCCACGTCTCAACCAGTCTGTGCCCGCTCAAATTTCTCATCACCGCCTTGTTTGCCAAGCTTGCGTCCCTTTGTCTCCCCTCTGTCTCCCTTACTCGCCCTTTGTCTCCTCTTCTGTCTCCTTGCTCTTGCCTGCAGCTGCTGCTTGGCTTGGTTTCCTCTTCTCCTCCACCGCTGAAAGCTCTTGAGTTTTACTGTTCTGAAAAGAATGCGAAAGCGTGTGGCTACTAAAGACTTTGTCAGGAGACTTAGGGGGTCAGTCTCCCAAAATTTGATTTTGGACCTCGTTCGGACCTCGTTCGCACCTCGTTCGGACCTCGTTAAAATTGCAGCCAGTCAAAACCCAGCCCGGAGAGGTTTTGGAAAGGCTTTGCAATGGTTTGCTACTTGGTCTGCTGCTGCTGCTGTTGTTGCTTGTGCTGCTGCTTCTGGGTTGATTGGCATGAAGCTGAATTCATCACAGAAACCACAGGACTGCAACGTCGATCACATCCAAGTTTGTATGTTGGAAATGCCATGAAACTTGGTGTGCCATGCGGAGGATGATCGTTCTGACCGTTCAAACAGGCGGAAGATTATTGATGTCTGGCGTAAGCGGTGTGCCATGCGGCTGGCGCAAGTTCTAGTAAATGCCGTTGGATCACGCCGGGGCTCGTGCCGAAATCAAACGAATCCATGTCCGGAGTTGACAAGAAAACGGGGCGTGTGCTGCAGAATTGGTTACTTTTCTCATTTGGATGGAAGGCAGCTGTTTTGCTGTCAATGCGTGTGTGCCCACTTTCAACATGGTTTTATCACCAAAGGAGATGGTATTAAATATGTGGTTCGCAATGGCACGGACACATTTTACATATTTTGTTTGCCAAGCCAACGGAGGTGTGGTACTAGTGTGCCAATAGGATTTGGTCCCTGGGGTAACTTCCGGATGGCCTGGGGTAACCCTGTGTGCCATTGGGATGGGGTAAATTCTGGGTGCCTGGGGTAAGAAACAGCGTCCACCCAGTCCAGGAGATGTTTTCCCAGCGTTGCCATGCAGAGATGATTTTTTCTACTATATCTTTTGGCATTCAAAAGAATAGCGGCCCACCAGCAGAATGCAATGATTTCTACAATTTCAAGATCGTAGGTGATAAAAAAAACATTCAGTAAATCTAGCGTTCACATGGGGGAACCATCAAAGGGATGACTTAGGGATGACTTCTTGGAAACAGCGTTGACAATGGGGAAAACCCAAAAGGGACAGTGAGGGATGACTTTCACTTCTACCTGTATGGCAAATCACAATTTTTAATGGGTAAGCAATCTATAAATGGGCCATCTATACCATATCTCTATATATATATATATCTATGTTACCAGAGGATAGGATGTTTGGTTCAGGCAGGCGCAATCTTCACCACTTATGGCGCTCGGCAAATATCAGTTGGAATCGTGTGGTCTTCAATGGGCCATCAATGGGTCAAGAATTGGGTGCCGGGTGCCCCCAAACGAAGATGCGTAGTACTAAAACGAAGTCAACAGTTGCAAGGGAAAAGCATCCAACAAACAACAAATCAAAGTCATTGTTGCCTCCAATTCATATCATCCGCTTCTCCATGTTCCCACTTTTTGTTGTATTTTGGTTCCACTCCGCAGGATCAAGAAACCCAACGTGGCTGCAAAAGATTCGGTTGTTGAGGTCCTGATTGACTATGGGGTTCGGAAAGGTTGTGCTCGGGAGTATGCAGCCGTTTGCGGTGCTGATGGTTTTCTTGATTTCTCTCTGTGGATAGATCAGGCACTACGACTCCGGGAACAGCAGCCATGCAGACTTTAGTGGCAACTTTTTGTTGTAGAACCCTGAAAGGGATGGCCGCCGTAATTACCTCTAGATCACAGCATTAGCTCAGTCACTCAAGTTGGTTTATTATAGTTTCCCGGATGTTTTGGGCCGTGTCCTGTCTAAGACATGCTGTTGAGCAAGTAAACTAAGGTACACCTCACAATTCCTGCAAGACTTGTTCCTGGAACTGGACTATGACGAGCAGGGTCAACTCTCGAGGAGGTCACTGGTATGATGTCTCCTCCACAAAAGTGCAAAATCGAACATCCAACTCTACCAACAATGTAACAGTGTAACCGAGGGTTTAAAAACAGATCCAACATGACCGAACATCCGACCTCCAAAGTGCATTGAACAGAAATGCTGCGATTCCTCCAAGTCCCGCCCCGCCGTCTCCTGAGGCAACTTGAGAGCCTGCTGAAATGTGGCGCCGTGGAATGTGACAGTGACGAGGTTGAAGAGATATTGGATGCTGTGGAATTTGATGAGTCCGGCTATATCGATGTAGGTGGGGAATGGTGGGGAATGCTGGGGATATTCAGTGTTGGCAAAGGGGACCGTGTCATGTCCTGTGGCGTCCAGGAACTGTCCGGGCGTTGATGCTGAGAGATGGTCGGATCGCCCGAAGGACTCAGGTCTTTGACACCAAGCTGTGCGACGATTGCCACAGGGTCTGCCACATCTTGTAGCCCAGCTGATGTTAGAAGGAAAAGTGGACAGGAAAGAAGCTTCTGCTCTGGACCAAAGAAGTTCAGGGAGCCAAGGTAGTTGAAAGGAATGAATTGGAGGAAAAGACTCGAAGCCTACGATGCCGTGCGTATAATTCCACGTCAAGTCTGTCACTCTACAACACCCGAAAAGAACGTAGTCAACCCTGTAAAGGAACTTGACATGTGTTTCAGGAATCAAGGAGTAGGAATCATGATGTATCATATCGATATTTATCCACATCAACTTATATATATATATACACGGTAAATACATATATTGTGTATATATATATATTGTCTGGCATTACCATATCACTGATACAACATATATATATATATACATACATACGTATGATATATATATATATATGCACATATACATATATCTATATACATATGTATATGTATGTATATATATATATATATCTATATCTATATTTATATCTATATCTCTCTCTCCATATATATATACGTATATATATATATGTATATATATATGTATATATATGTATATATATGTATATATATATACATATACATATACATATATATATATACACGTATATATATATATATGTATATACACATACGCATAGTTATATGTACACCTCTACATGTATCAGATCATACGAATGTGTGCACCCTCACGAACTCATACTCACATCCAAATGCCAGCAGAATCGCACACCGACTCCAGGACCACCGACGAAGGAACTGCCATTGTGAGCCAGCACGCTGGGCCACTGGAGCTGGTTATGATGGGAAACTCTCATAGGTTTCGACCCATCCCATAATTATTGGTGCGTTGCTGTCAAAAACCATCAAACATCTCAATTTGGTGGATCCAACCTGTATCCAACATATACATGATGTATATATATATACACACACATGTATGATTCAGCCGGATGTTTGGCCGGCCATGTTTTTCGTTTGGTAAGCCCGCCCAAGTTCATGGGAACATGTTCTGTTTCAACCGGATTAATCTATAAACTACTCATATTTTTGTTGACTTTTTGACAGTTAAACCATATTTTCACTCCTGGTTTCTGCAGGTTCAATCCTCACATTTTTGGTGAACTGCCTTGGGTTGTCCCGGTTTCAGGTCGTGGATGAACACCTGCGTGCAGCAGTGCCCGACTTTGTAGTGGAACAACGGCTGCGGGCGGAGCGAGGTGAGACGAGGCCAGTGCGGAATTCCACCTGGAGGATCATGGCTTAGAGCCTGTTTAAGAATTCTCCCGTTCGTAGTTATCCGATTTATCATTCATGAGTTGGGGAGAAAAGGGTACCATGATTCCCAACCAAGCGAGATGATCCTTCAAGTAATCGAAACGAAACCTAGGAAAACCCAAGGATATACCAAACTATCCAGGTTGCCTGCAGATGTTCCCTTTATATCTGGGACTGCAGGATTTGCTGCCGTGCGGCTGCATTGAACATCAGCCTGTTTGACACGAAAATCAGTGGAACAAATGTTTTGTTTCCTAAGTCGGAAAATCACCCACAGACGCCACACTTAAATAGGAATTTCCTTTTCTTGTTTGGGCAAATTTCCAGATATTTTCCAGCCAAATGTGTTGATTAGAGGGTAAATACCACTGAAGGCTTCACTTGTTGGTTCATGACCCCTAGGGCCTATAGATGTTACCAAAGAGTGTAGATCTGGAAGCCAGGCTCTGAGGGATTGATTTCTGATTCCTTTCTCTGAGAGTGTCAGGACTCATCCCGATAAGGACATCTTAGACATTCTCTTCAGTGACAATGTTGCTTGGCTCTGGGGCTCTGGGTCAGGTTTGAAGGGACGTCTCATGATGGACAGATTGACGCTACCTACCTGAGATTCCCCATTGATTGATTTGATTGAACTTTGGGATATGGAGGACATGGAACATATTTTTGAAACTCTAGCCGACATTCAAAATCAACTTCAAAATGGAGTCACAAGCAGCTCTGCTGAGTGGCTCTTTGGCGCTAAGGTGAAGCCCCAGAAAGCCACTTTCAAAGAGCTCAACGTGGATCTCTCCTGCATCGATTTACCTGTGCAGGCCTGGGAGTGAGCAGCAACGGTGCTGTTTGTCACTTCCATCTTGTTGGATGTGTGAGGAGCCACCTCTTTCTGTACTTAGCTAAATGATGCTAAATGATGCTAAATGATGCTAAATGATGCTAAGTGCCCGATTCTGGTTCGACAACCAAACGGGACGATTGGCGAATTGCCCAACGATGCTATGCCTGTGATCCCACATCTCCCAACCGGCTGCAGGAAGGTGGCCCTGTGCGCGCGAGACACCAGTATGTGGAGCGGAAGAACTTCATGCCAGAGCCCGTCCCTCCTCCGGCGTCTCGACGTGGGATGCTGGATCTCCTGAAATCGAACATTAATCATTACTGTATATAGTCATTACATAGTCATCATTTGTCATCATTAATCGTCATTAGTCATCATTGATCAGCATTGATCATCAAGTACCATGAACCATCATGAATCATCAGAAATCGTCGTTAATAAATAATAATTATTTATCCACCGCCAAAGTATTTTTTGTTGAGTCAAAATCCTGGACTGAACCACCCGAGCGACAAAAATCGACCGAGGAGGAAGTGGAGGAGGAAGAGCGGCGCAGTGGCTGGTGACTTGTAGACACAACCAGTGGATTATTCTAAGTTGGCCTTGCAATGACCTCACCATGGATGGTGAATGTTAGGGACATCATCCTAAAATGGCCTTAGATCAGGTTGGTGAATGTTGTGATAACTTGCCTTGAATATTGGTCCTTTGCCCCCGCACGACTGGGTGGAAGTGGTTTCGGAAAGCCGCCGAAATTAAAAGCGGGGCCTCTTAGGATGTCGCAAGAGAAAGTAAAAAATCTATAGAACTTGTAATTTTGGGCCATTTGATCACCCCAACTCTCTGGAACTTGACTAAACTGGTGCTAGACCTTTGGTAAGACCAAGAACCGATGTTGTCGAGTGGAACTTCTCATGTTCGCCGCGATCAAACGTATGAGCCTAGGAATTGGTGCAAGGAGGGCAGGAAGTTGCTGGATACCTCTGGAGTGTTTGGGCCGGCATGGTTTTCCTGGGTCAATAGGGATTCCCGGATTCCCCTGATGGCTTGTGGAAATTCCCATGAAAAGTGGTTTCATCATGTTTTATCATACCCTCTGGTAATTTAACATAGCTATTGAAAATGGCCATTTATAGTGGATTTACCCATGAAAAATTGTGGTTTTCCATAGTTATGTTAGTTTACCAGAGGGTATTGAATCACCCCATATCTGGAGGGTCACCATTTAAGACCCAGGGGACCATATGGGGACCACCCAGGGGACCATAGGGGACCACGGCTTGAGGCTTGGCAGATGCCAGGGATGACATGTCGAAAATGCCTGTCACATTGATAAAGGTACAATTTACACACACATGTATATACATGTATATACAATATGTGTATATATATATATTATATATATATTATATTATATTATATATTATATATATACATATCTCCAAAAGGACATGATTTTTGCGAAACCATCACCCAATTTGTCACAGCATGCGAAACGTGAGATCGGAGCCGCTCGTTTCACCAAGGACTGGACCGAGGAGAAGGCTGCACTGCATCGATCCCAAAGCCTGCCACAGGTGGCGGGTCCCAGCTGCCTTTGGGAACTTTGGAATAGATACAGATACCCAAATGATCCCAAATAATTATAAGTATATATTATATATACCACCAGTATACTACCTAATAATATATACCTAATATACTAAGATACTTATTAGATATAAGTAAAAGAGCTCACCAGTTTTTCGGCTCAGGCCCTGGCTGGCGCCTCTTTACTTCCAGGTGCCAATGGTGTCCCGGCCTCACCCTTCCATGGCATGGCCACACGACGCTTCGGGGAGGTGGGGAGATACGAAATGTCGATGGGATTGCCTCAAGATTGGGAACCTCATTCCATTTAGTTTTCTGAAGGCAAATTCTCAGCATTAAAGGGCATATATAGGGATCTTCTGCATTTTGATACAAACGCAGATGGAATTAGGAGGACATCAATGTCAAGTGGTTGCAGTATGCATGGTGTTGCAACTTGGAGTGCCAGCTAGGCCCAAGCCACAAAGTAACCAGAAATGATTGATCCTACTTGAAGCAACCATCCCCCCTGGTACATGATTTCTGGGAGATTATACTCCCACACCACAGTGGTTTCAAATGGACTAATTGCAGTTTTTGGGTTCAAATCGACTACCCGCAGCTTTCGGGACGACGTAGAGTAACTGTTTCCTTTTATAATTTGGAGAATGCCTAGGACTTGGGTTAGCCCCCTCAGTAACAGTGGATTTTTCTTCATAGGGCACCATCTCCAGGACTCAGGCTGGGATGGTCGCATGCGGGGCTCGCTTTTGGCACGGCGTGGATGGGCTGGAACTGCACCGGACAAGGAGCTTGGAGAAGCCAAGGTTCAACATGGTTTCGTTTGGAAACGGTGGTTTCAAAGATTGTTTACTGGAAATACCATACTAAGGTTACTAAGGATGATGATCCCCACTAAATAGGTGTTTTATGATGATTTTCAGCACATGAACGAAAGTACCAGGTCCTTTGACCTACCATGACGTGTTGTGAACCACCATGAAAGCTGCAGTTGCGGTCGCCTTTTGTTACCGAAATCTTGTAACCCCAGATGCTTCTGGAGAAAAAGCCGAGTTGGAGCCACACCTGTTGATTTTCAACAACTCAGCATTGCTCAGCTGGTTGATGGATTTCATAGAATTTTTCATGCACTTCTCCATTGCTACCCGGACCCCAGCATTTATAAACAACTCTGGCAGGACTGCAAGTGATTGGAGTGATCTGCGCCGATACAGGTTAGTGATCAGATGTGTCATTGGCTTGAAAACCCAGATGGTTTTTTTCCCCCTGCAATTTCTGCTGACGGAAAGCAGGTGACTTCTGAGGCTTTCAATGGCGGCCGTGGCCGAATTGGTTCTGGCCGATGTCTCACAGGTTGGGGCCGTTGTCAGTGCAAGAATCTGTCATGATCCATCCCTTGCTTTGGTATCCTGCCTGTAGCTGTGAAACTGTTGTCACCCGACGGCACCTCAGCCTTGTCCCTCCGACCGTTTCGACCGTTTCTCATTTGGCAAAGCCAGATAAAACGTAGAGATGGGCCAGAAAAGGGTGGATGCTGCTCACAGGTGTTGCTTCTTTCAGAATAGGAATGTCATTACCTAGTACCATTTCAATGCAGGATAGACCAAGTTTGAAAATTGTTGACTTGAGATGCATCTAGGTCATTCTAGGTCAAAATTTTGTACCTCAAACTGAATGGCCAATACTCAACATCGCACGATTTTCTGCAGTTTCATTGTTGAACCGCACAGAGATGCCTGTTTGGTTTGAAGGATGCAGCCGCACCAGGCGAAGATGTCGCTTTGGAGTTTTCTGGTGTCGACATGAGCGCCGAGGTTATGGCCTGGTGCTCAATGACCCATTTTGCAGGGGGGGAAGCTGGCCGGGAGCAGCAAAACCCTGTTTCAGAACATGGTTGCAGAACATGGTTTTAGCATCTTTCAGCATGTTTCAGCCAGTGTTGAGCTCAAAGAGAAGCATTCTTCAGAACCGGGCAAAAATCGTTGGACAATTCACATGCGCACAACATCTTAGGCTCCAAACTGTTTGCACCTTCCATGTGATTTCG